TATATATATTAGGACAGAAACAAGGTTGTTTAAATCATTTGTTATATAGTTAGGGTTTTGTTTATCGTCTGACTTTCAAATCTGTGAGAAAAGGTGAAAACAACCCACATTCCAGTCAGATTAGCACCGTTCTTCACATGTCTTCACCCTGCTGCGAGTATGGTAGTAATTTCATTATGGTTGGAGTATGTTCCAGTTTTAGTAACTCGGAATGACATTTTAGAATGCCATCACGTTTACGAAATGCTTCCTATGTGCGTTTAACAACCAAATTCCTGGCTATCGAATTCGTCCACGTGAACTCGTCTGATAGTTTATATAATTGAGCTGCTGAACGAAATATCGCAAGCCTAAGAAACGCTCCTTGTATAATTCCAGATCATATCCTAGACCGACTGGCATACAATTGCACCCACTGACGAGTCTTTTGACCAGATTGATGAGGTACATACAAGTTTGTTCTTATTGTTATCTAAGACTCACATTTTACCTTTTGCTTTCTTCCTTGTATAGATCGAGAGTCTATATGAGGCCATTCAAGGGTCGTCTAAATTAGATCTGGTCAATAAATGCCATATCAGTACATTGCAGAAACTGGATGGAGAAGTGCAGAGTACTAACTTTACACTGGTAAGCGGACGTACATGCAAGCTTGTTAGTTCGTGAGTAGATGTTGGGTTTTCTGGTCTGTTGGTACTCGTTCTTTGAATCAGTGTATAACGCGTACGTGTTCATATATATGTACAGTTTTAGCCAGTTGCTCGTGATCACAAATAGAATATCTCGTTACATGTATGTTATTAGTATTGGCGTTCGTTTATCTGTGCGAATTTATCGCCATGTTTGTGCGTGGCTCACTGTTCGTGTGTGTATCTAGCAGTAACGGAATATCTACGTATATGAATATACACGCATGGGGACTGGTATCATTGTGTACATTCCAGAGAGTATCACTCCAAAAATATGGAATCTATACTCGTTTATCGACGCAATACTATTCATTCTCAATTTACTTCGGTATGTGTGTGTAGTTTGTATTACGTGAACGTAACCTGTATATAATTGTAGTTGTTGATGGAAGGATTGTAATGCTATATTCTGCACTATGTGATCTTGTGCATATCGTCAATGTACAGCCCGTATTGAAGCATTACATCATACTGTTAAGCATCTTCTACACTTACGTGTCCCTTCACATGTACTTATTCTGAGACAATGGTTTTCTATCAACTTTTTTGTCCATACACATGTAAATTTCTTGTCTGCTTAAACCATGCAACCAGTTCTTTTGCGCGTATATCGAGATCTTTACTGTCTACTACCCCAATTGGTATGAAAACAAGGCCACGGCCCACGTCACTACCAATATTTAGACGCGCGTAAGTTTGACGTTCGTGAACAACACTTCGTCTGACAACAAATAAATACAGCATGTCTTTCATGCGTCCATATGCACTCGTGCTCACATCTGCACAACGCGGAAGTCGATTGTGATAACATATAGACCTGCCAAACGAGTTGCTATAAATGTGAGACCTGTATATATTTTTAGCGTTACTTGCAGGTTATCGTCTACGGAAAGTCTCTACTTAAAGGGGGAATATACAATATTATCTAAAAAATTAGTTCGAATGTGTTGTATAAGAATTTGGCTATGTACTGAAGCGCTGGTAAGACATCAGTGAACCATTGTATGCCACTTTTATGATTATGTGACAATCTCTCTCGTAAAGTGAATCAAATAACGTATAAAATTGATGCAAGGCATATTTGTGTGACTTTCAAATTATGTCACATTGGTAGCCAATTCAGACCCATTCATACACAATTTGTGGTATCGAGATAAAATCAAGCGACTGTGAATTAGCACTTGATACTCTTCAGAGAATGGAATACTGCGTTGATTCGCTACAATGTGTGGGCATTGTATGTTTTCTTGCATGCTTACTGGCACGCCCCAGCATAGTTTGCACTGGTGAGGATTGCAAGTCAGAAGTACTTAGGAACTTCCCTCCAAATATACTATTACCTCTGTCATGCTTCATAGATCGTAAAATAATCTATTGGATTTCATCCGGCGTATTGATCTTTAGGACCAATTCGAAACGCGAGTGAAGGAGTTTGACACCGACTTTCAGAATAATATCACAGACACCGTGACCGATCACAAAGTAGATTCTCACGAATGGACGCAGGAATCTCTAGCTTTCCTTAAGGTATGGCTATGGACGACTACACTATAGACTACCCATCACGCCAAAAAGGAGGGTTCTTTATTCTCATTGTGCTGTAGGTTTTTACTCGAGGTTTATGTAGTTAGTTGCCCGATGACGGCGCTTTCGCGACTGCTGCTGCAGGTGTCGGATTAGATCGCAAGTTTGTTAATTCGAAGCTACATGACGAACATTGTCGTAATAGTATTGTTACATACTCGGCGTTTCCAATCACATACCTGCGATTATCATATTACACCCCCGGACTGGCAGAGAAGTACGTAGTTACATAGGTATTAATTGGGAAGTGGATCACTTTATCCGGTGTCTTTATGTAGGTTTACTATGAATAGGCGCGTTCTCACCGGTTGTCCTTGTACACTTTTAAGGCGCATTAGTACTGTGTTTATGTGAGTTTAGTATTGTTTCTTCTATGCCAGGAAACCTCTATATGACACCTAACGCCATAAAGTTTTCTTTTTTTTTCAAATATAGGAGCAATTTCCTCACAAATATAACGTCGATGTCAATTCGGAGCTGGAGTCAGATGAAGATATCGTCGTTGGCCCTGTATGTTTCGTTGCTCCCTTATTTGCTGAGATATGTAGTGTGGTTTCAAAACATTTTGATTGGTTCCAGTACTCACTTGATGATTGACAGAGGGACCTTGGATGGGCGACACCAAGCTGCACATGTCCGTATTATGCTATGAGTTGAGAGTACTGATATATTTCATTTCAACTATTTGATCACGCTTTTACACAGGCGACACAGGATTTCAAATGCAAAATCACACAGATGCTGATGAAAGATCCAATGAAAAAGTACGTTTCGAACAATATCCCGTAAAATCGCTGCAAATATTATTTTTCGCGGTTGAATCTCAGAATTCTCGAACCTTTATAACTTGCGCTGTTTAGCTTATGCACTAATTCTACGTTTGATTTCATCCGAGTGAGACTCGATCATACGTTTCTCCTCTCCATCCGGTGCTCGCTGGCGGGATGGGCTCGTACTGTTTATTTTGGTTTGATGCGATCAATAGTATTCTTCTTTACATTGCGCTCTGCAGCTCCGTTTGTGGCCATAGGTATAGCAAGGCAGGAATCATGCAAATGATCGGTGAACATCCAAGTATAAAGTGTCCGATTGGAGGTATGTGATGGCGACGGTGTCGTTGTTCTTCCCATCGGTTTGTTTATATCTCAGACCTCTGTTAGCGTTTTTTTTACACATGTATTTTTACTAAATATAGAATGTATTTTGAATGCTTAGGGTGTGGAAAGACAGTCAGGAGGAATACATTGCAACACGATCCGAGGTTTGAGAAAATTTTGAAACGTTTTCAGAGGACTATGGACTCACAACAACACGAACAGAGCTCCAATGTGGAGACTATTGAGTAGGAGATTATAAATTATATAATATCGACACGGTCACATGTCGAGCTGTACGCAAGGCAATGAAAATACTGCAGTAAATAAGTATTTGATTCAGAACCTTGATGAAACTAAAAATTTGCCGATTAAATGACTTCGCTTCAAACTTACAAAACACCTTCAGGAGGGCGCGTTACTCTCTGCTCCGAAACCTTGCCCAAGTTCCCATACAAGCACCATAGCACTTATTTGCATATATTCAAAAGTATATAAATACACGTACCGTCCATTAGAAGAAAAAGTAACCTATCAACATTATGTTGAAGTGCCTCTAACCGATAGTTTTTGTTAAAAAGTTGAATTGTTAAGGGGCAATTGACCGGCACACGCGCACACTCCTTTATGTCACACACCTAAAATAGGAAAACTACAGATACTGGCGGTGGGAGGATTATCCCTTCCACCCCATTGAATGTACAATGTTATGGTTTAATAATATCTCAGATGCGAACTGTGTTTCTGTAGGCTTTCATAATATCACTATCATTGACTTGTTCGACCTTTCAACATATTCCTATGAAATACACAATTCTACTGTATTGCAGTCTCTTCTTTGACATATTGCAGTTTGCTTGGTGGTCTAACAGGAAAATTGAAGTTGGCGAGATCAAGCACGGTAAAGTGCTCGTTGTATCGGTTTTCTCAAGGTGGCAAGACACTGAAGTCGAATAGATGAAAGACTATCGGTGTATAATTCTATTGTTGGCAGTGATCTCTCCCAACACATGCCGGTGAATTGCATATAATGAGTCTTTTTAACATCCAAATAACTTGTATTAGAGAGGACCATTCAGCCCACTGGGAGGTGTGTGAATCCGTAAGAGAACTTCTGAAAGATAAGTACCAAACTAGCCGAAGGAGGTCGTTAAGATTGTATACCAGTTAGACCATGTATCTAGACCCTGGATTTGGAACACTATGATGTACTTATCACTCCTGGTCTGCAACATTAGCTTGACAACACCAGTCCGTGTTAATATACATATTCTTAGAAATTGACGGCACTTATACTTCGTTTTAAAAAAGGGGAACAGAAGCTGTCAGCATTGCACCACATACAAGGTCGTAGTAACTAGTGCGTTTATGCAGTGACACGGAAGAAAATAAACTTCTGCAACCGACTGTAACAACATGCTAAGTATGTTATGTACTACACATTGCATGGGCAGGTGCGTGTTGTTTGAAAAATGTAAGTTAAGATGGTAACAGTAAGATTGAAAAGATCAGAGCTGTACTAAGTTTGTATAAGCCGGGAACATCTCGACATGTGCGTTGGCTTGTTGGTATGGTCTGTAGTATACATGTCTACAACTCGCGAGATAAAATCAAATCAGGAGATTGTGAAAGGCAATACCATCAGCTCAAAATGCAGTTCTTAAAAAGTTCGGAAAATATTCAAAACAAACATGATATGAAGATGCATTCGAACAATATACCGAGGAATTTAACTATTTTAAACGGAACCCAGCCGAATTCAGTGCACAGCAAGTCGCCCGCAGAGTCGGTATATGAAGACAATATTACTCAATCAAGTCCTCAATAAAAATTCAGCTGTTTTCGAAAATTCAACTGGTAAAACGCACAAGACCTTGGCTTCTGCTGACTTGTCGATCGATCAGGTCGATATACAATTCCAAATGTGCACAATATGAAGCTTCAAAATGATACAAACCGCTCATGGCATGATAATTAAATGTCTTGTGCAACTTTATGTATATTTATTGTGCTAAAAGCCGATAGGACGTTTGCTTAGTCCGCTTTTGGCTCGATTTGATAGACCATCCAGTCTTATGCAATCGCCGCATGTAGTTTACCACAATGGCGATACGTACAGACTTGTGGGGTACTGCGTGCTTTTTGCTCGCTTGCTGAGTGTTGGTGTGTTGTGTTACGTGCTTATTTCAGTAGGCCTCAGCGCTCGTAAATCAGATTTCACATATTTGTGCTAATTTAATATACGCCTGGAGGCGGGTGGATCTGGCTGGATTCATTCACTATCGCTTCTACCCCTGTTGCCGTGCGATCGCTATTACAAACTAAATGATGCGCAGTCCACTCCGGGTTCTAAGCATACATACCTGGGCGATATGAAAGTGAAGCAAACATTGTATGTGACCAAACCATATCATGCGTGTTCGTTTAAGTGGTGTGTCGCAGAACTCCGCGCAATGCATTGAAGGTCGTTCTCAAGTGGACATTTCAAACAGCATGATGCAAATATACAGGTACAGAGGGTGTTGTCTTTCCTTCGCCTGTATACAGTGACCGCTCAATTGGGTCAAGCAATACCAGAAGATCACACATACCAGTCGTCCGTTTTGCACTTTGTCGAGTGTACACTAGGGCAAGGGCATTCCACTGGAGTGTCTACGCAGGTGTCAGAGTCTTCACAGTAGTACTGACAGTTCTATGAGTGCGAAAGAGGGATGATATATTTAGTGACGATGTATGTGCATGTAGATTGATAAATTCCTGAATCACCACATTGCGAGAAAGATCGCAATAGACTGCACATGGACGCTGGCCGAAGTGAATCCCGTTTAAAGGTCGCGCATTTGAAATCATAAATAGCAATTCCAAGCTTGCAAAAAGCCGATGACACACGCGTGGACGATGTTAGACCGTATCATAACGGAAGAAGAAGAATGCACCCGGAAACCCAGAACACACCGGATTGGGTGTGAAAACGAAAGTCAGCACAGGGGAAAATAATTATTTAAAATAGGCAGGCATTCACGAGTGCTTAATATTAATAGCAACGATATATTTAAGCGTCATGGTAGCGGAATACGATCAGTATCGTGTTGTTCAGCATAACTTACAGGATCCAGGTCTTTTTGATACTTTGTGGCCTGTTCTTCATCCCCCTGTATTTTTTTTAAAACAGGACATGAAATTATCCAGTGATCAGCAAAAAGCAACGTCATCAACAATAGTCCTATCAGGGTGTTTTGTAAAGGCACCCGAAAACATGGTATGATGACAATCCCAAACACTGACAATAGGCAGTTGTTGCACATCAACCATACTAGTACAATTTCTTCTACACAATACTTTTATTAAAATGTTTTAACTTTTTGAATATAACATAAACATCAGCTTATGCATAAATGTATCCATTTGAACGAAATACGCACACTAGATACTAAACACAAAATATCCGATTCTTCAGTTTATTTATAAAAAAAGCCCATTATTTTCACACGATTCTGTGAATATTACAATATTTATAATGAAGGAATACAATCACACAAACACGTAAAAGCGTACACGAACAAATAAAGACAAAGATTTGCACTATATACATACACGGAGGCAGAAATATAAATACCACTCACTCAACCGTTGGCACGAAAACACACGCATGAACAACAACAACAATAACAAACAAACAAATATATATATAAGCACGTAAAAATACACACACATATATATACAAACAAACTCGCATATAGAGATACAAAGACGCAAACATTATATATACATACAAATATATAAATAGAAATAAATATATATATATATATATATATATTGTATATATAATATATAAGTTGATATGTATATGTATTTGTATATATATATGTATATATATAGATATATATAACATAAATAGAAATAATATATATATATATATATATATATAATTGTGGTGTGTGTATACGTGTCTATACATATGTCTATCTATGTCTATATATGTGTCATATAGATATATATAGATATAGTTATAGATGTAGATAGATAGATAGATAGATATATATATATATATATTTGTGTGTGTGTATATATATAGAAATATATAGAAATATATATATGAATATATAT